ATAGATAACCAAAATACTTTGATGCCAAACTATCAGTTCCAGTGTTTCATCAGAGAGCTGACTAAACACAAGTTTTTATTATGGCACTTCAAAAGAGGTAGTGGGGGAACAATTTAGAAACTGAAGTTGCCGCATTTGATCCAGTACAGGATATTTATGATAATGCCACAAATCAAATTAACTCAGAACATATCTGATGAACACTTTGCACTGGATGCCCAAAAATGAACTTGACAGCTTTTAAAATGCTTTATGGTTAAAGGCATCTTTGTACAGTTACATTATTCAATAAACTGTTGAGATGGTATGTACCAGTGTTATTTTCTTTTTACACTTCTAAATGGCAACTACCCACACTCATGCCAGCAGTTCATTTTTATGCAACCCCTGCTTTTTGGAGGGATTTCTAAGAGCTACAAAAGGTTCACGTCTTTGCCAATGTCCATGATAAGAAGTTCATACAGCTGGAGGGTGTAGTGCTTCTAGAGTACTTTGGTGTTCTGAGGATGTCAAAAATGCAGACATGTAATTGCATCAACATAGAAATTCTTCAAAACTATTAACAATCTTCAAAAGCTCCAACACTTCGCATCACTTGTACTCATTACTCTCTGGGATGCTGGTTAAACAAATGAAAGCCTTCCACCCACATATACCTGGAGAGGCAGCCTTCCCATTTGTCCAACATCGGAACTTTGTTTGCAGGCAAGCACACACTTTACCAAAGAAAGCAACTGTCACTTCGCTTCTCCCCCTTTCTAATCATATTTGCCATCTATTGATAGTGTAGCAATTTCAGGGGAACTTTGTTCTATCCCTCCCCATAAAAAGACTCGAAGTTAGATGCCTTTCCCCCCAATACCGAATTGTGCATGGTCTCATCTATCAAATGACTTCAGTAGACACGACATCAGCTTCACACACTACTGTTCTCCAAAAAGGAAATTGGGGCATTTAAAAGGTGTCAGACAAAACACATGCCACAAATCACCTCTAAAGTATAAACAAGCATACTTGAACATTTCACACTGCAGCTTTGTGGGTCAAACAATCTGACTAACAGAAAATTCAAATCACGTTTAAAGCTGTGCATTCTTCCACATCTGCTACATTAGCTGAGTCGCTCTCAGGAGATAATTTAGTTGACTGACTTCTATTTCAGGCTATTCCATCCCAAATCTTCAATAAATTCAGAACGTAGTCTCTTCAGTTAACATTTTACAAAAAGACCACAATCAACAGAATGGAAAATCTGAGGCCAAAGGAGGTTACAGAGTGGCAAAGGACAAGTCCAGAAAGGGTTCTAAGATAAGGGCAAGAATTTAACATTTTAGATGTTGGCAGATTGGAAATTAATAACCCACAATCACAATTATGAGAAAAACATCAAACTCCTATGCAAAATTAGGGATGCAAAATTCAAATACTGGTGAAACAACAATGGGAGGCCATGAGCACAACTCTGCCTCTTGAACCACTGGAGTCATATAGTACGGTTGTGGCAAAACATCTGGCAACTGTGAACCAAGTTCAAGTTCCAAGATCAAATGAAAGGCAATCTTACCCAGATGAGATATAAGGCAGTAAATCAGAGTCCTCTGACTTCCACAGTGGTTTGCTCTAAAAACTGATAAGTGGGGCTAATTAGGTTAAAAAAAAAAGCAAGTACTGGACACGCTGGAGACCTGAAATAAAAACAGAAAGCAGAAGTCCAATATGACTCAAAACATTAACTGTGTTTCTCTCCAGAGATGCTGACAAACCGGCTAAGTTTTTTCTAGCACATTCTGTTCTTATTCCCAATGAGGTTCAAGTCTGCTTGAACAAATCTCCCAACATTCTCGGAAGGGGGAGCAACAGGTTGTAAACAATTCCTTCATTTTCCTAAATAAATGGATCAAAACTTCACCCCTTCTTGAGCAGATATTCTAGAAGATCAATTTTACTTACGAAAGCTCACAATGTCATTTTGTTTTTGTTCTGAAGTTGCTCACTTTATTTACTGCACATAAAAGACAATACAAACTTCAAGAAGTATATTTTTTAATGACCAGATGGCAGAAGACTGTCAGTCACATTCAAATGATATTACAGGGTGCTGTTAAGCATCAGCTGGACTGAGTTCAGAATTTAAATAGGTCTTGAGGGGTACTTCTGCTTTTGAGGTCAATCTACCAAGTACAACATTCTTCTTCAAAACAATAAAGAAAATTGAAAATAAAAACACAAAACAAAGCACTTTGATATTCAATGATATTTGAGTCGTCAGTTGGAACTAACCAGGTCTTTTAAAACACGTTTCATCAACAAAAACTAGTTCTTGCCCCTTCTCTAAAGCCATCTGAACAGTGTTTTATAAAACAAATTACACAATACAGCTTCAGGACAAAGAAACAAAGGAATCAAGGCCTTGAGGGGGAGGGGGAAGTGACAGGCAAGGCACAAGTCACGACAAAAAGGAGAATCCAACCAAGAACATACTGAAAATTGATTCCTAAAACTATGCTTTTTAAAGTATATTTCAATCACAAAAGAAACACAATTTCACAGGAATTTTACACTGAATTTTGACTAAAAAAAGATATTTATGAATGATCTGGGCTGCCATTTAAACAAGTAGAGACTTCCCCCACTGAAAGACTAAGATTGTAGAATATAGTGACACGAACATACGAGATCACGCAACATATATTCCTTGTGTAAGGGAGCGAGTAGGGAGAAAAATGGCAAAAGACAGTATGCCACAGCAAACAAAGTCATCATTAGTCCTTAAAACACTAAAAAGGAAATCAAGATCAAAGCAATCGGAACCTCTAGCAAGGTGCAAACAGTGCAGCAGATGACCCTAAGTATGACCATTATAAAATTCCCTAAATTGGAGTTCTCTGTTTATTATTAAAGGAAAAATTGATTCCACAATATATTCTAGAGTTTGTTCACCAAGCTCTCATTTTGACCTGGAGCATATTTGCGTAAAAGTGTGTGATTCATTTCCTGAAACAACACAAACCTTAATCATTGTTCATAAACAGGACTAGCCAAAATTTGGAAACGGTTTCAATGTGAATTTAGGAAGTGACATACAGTACTGCAGAAAGAAATCAGAAAATGTAAAAATATGGTGTTCATGAAAATTCACCCCACATCACCTCACTCATTTTCAAGGCAGGATGATTTCAGTGCAGTGACAGCAATAGTAAAATAGGAACAAAGTGCCTGGAAAGTCTCACTATCAGAACAAGAGCTTTCAGCAGTAGCAGAGTAGTCAGAGTAGTTCTGGAAAATTACCAATTCCAAGGTTCTTCTTGGCAATCTAAGAGGCAACACTATCAATGCATTTATATTATAGCAGTACAAGGGAAGTCACAGCAGCTATCTAGAATGGCATCCGGTGAAAGAAGATACTTTTTCACATCAACATGTTTCCTGATTTATTTTAGAATATTTAAAACCCTTTACCAATTAATTTTCCCCTAAAAGTTTTGTCAATGTTGAAATTAGCATAACACATTTAGGACTTAAGAATCAACATTCATTATAAAAGTGAAACTGATAAGACAGTGATTCTAGTAACATTGGTGTTATTATTGAAAATATCTAATTGCTGTTCCACTACTGTTTTCATTGTCAGAGGCTAACTGCTACTGATGATATACGAAACAATTATTTTAATTATCACAGATAGTCGAATGGATATCAGTTTGTGCAGTTCTGTTGTTTGCATAGCTGATTGGTTCAACATAAAGGTTAAGCTCTCCCACATGGAAGCAAGTTGCTATTTTAAAATACTGTGATAAAAACATCAGATGCTGGAAAATACAGTCAGACTGTCAGCATCTGCGGTATTTTGCTTTTGTGTTAAAAGACTTCATCCTTCTCAAATATTTAACTTTCGCTATCTTCCATTCCAATGATACACTCAGTTAAATAAAAGATCAATCTGATTCAAGCAGGAATTAAAAACGATCAAATCTTACAAAAACCTTAGAAACCTTACATGCAATTGTTTATTACTCCAACTGTTGTTAGTGCATTTCAAGAAATACACAGACAAGACGTTAATGCCAGGTTTTCTGCTGACAACGCTGAAAAGGCTAGATTTTGGAAATGAACAATCTATACACTGGAAAAGTGATGCTAACTGTGCTTTAAGATGACACTGACAGCAGTCCTATATGTGGAACCCCATCATCATAAATTCAAGTTACAAACCTGTTACGGCTCATCCACATGTACCTGCCCCTAGATGCTCCACATTTAAATGATTAATTGCCTTTTCATAAACAGATTTACAAATAAATTACACTCCCTAACTTCAACCAAAGGGCAATCATTCTTGCTTGTATAAAAACAATGGATATTCCCAGATCCTGTTGAACGATTTTCACCAGAAACATGTCCGATTGTTTACCAACCTCCCACAATTCACTACTTTAGCACTACCAAAACAATTACTTTGAAGCACCCCTTCAACATACAGCACTATCACACCACTTGGTAACTGACAATTTGTTTTACATTTACATTACTGGGAAACATTGGAAGATTTCAACCACTTCCTCTCACAATTCCCACAGCTTGTATTTCCCAGGAGCATTACTTCATAGATCAGCTGTGGTTTTGGTTTAAAAGAAACAGCTTTGCTGGTTACGCTTCCCTTTCACGAATTCTTTGTTGCTGGGTTGAAATGACTGATATCCTATCCTTTGATTGATGGAACAGTCCATCTGTTCTGGTGAAATGAACCCTGGACATTATCTAATAGTCAGCTCTTTCCATATGTGATCCCTGAGAATCATAATCTTCTCTAAGAGCATTTTGTGGATATGGAGATTGACTATGTGAATGACAGCTTTTCTTTCTTAACTATTACCGTGTTCTTTTCCACGGGGGCCAGTGACACAAGACTAAATATGTTGCTCAAACTGGTTTTCAGCCGTGTTGTTATGAAGACTATTCTCTCTCTTATTTTGTTCCTAATATCCACTCTCAGTTCTTACCCAGGTAAATGTCTCCGAAGGACCCGCTGCCGATTTTCCTGCCGAGTCGGTACCTGTTTCCCACTCTGAGTTCCATGGTGGGTTTCGCCTGGTGCCCACTGTGTGAGTTTGATTTTAACCCGGGTTACTCAGAGAAACTCTATTTCTCTCCCTCTCTGTGTGTGTGTGTCTGTCTGTTCTCAGTCTCTCTCACAGAGGGATTTTCACCAACACTTTTCTCGCTTCTTTCCAAATGCACCCCGACAATATCCACACCAGACGACACGTTAAACGCCGTAGATTATGCTCCACCAAATTTTATTGTCATTCTGGCCACCTGCGCGCAGGATTGCATCGGATTCGAGTGACTCTCTCTCCCTCTTCCTTCTTCGGCTCTAGCTCGCCATTGCCGGACTGCGAACAGTCTGACATCACATCCGTTGTGTGACGTCACTGGACAGGGCGGTGCGACTGTCGGTGACGCCATATACACTGAGCTACTGCTCCTGCAGTGAGCGTCATCCTAATGTCCTCATCTGTATACCTACAGGGGAAACTAATGCCCCACTGCTTAGTTTTAACAGGCAATAGTTTTCAAGTGAGTGCATTTACCAATTGGTAATGACAGACAATTGCTCCTTGTATGGGTCATAAAGCTGTTGCCTTGACAAAGCAGATGTAAATATTGAAGTCTTACATAAATTTTGTCCCATGGTGTATAAAAGTAGAAGTGATTATCCCACAGGGGAAAACAAACAAAAAAAACAACTTTTTTTGCATATGTCTGACATTTTACATTTTATTCCACACCCACAAGGAAAATCCAATTTAACATGTGAATGATGCATACTGTTTGACTCATCTTGAATACTTCAACATGGAATTTCCTTCAGTATGAGCAGTTAATTCATTTCCAAGTATTTTACTGGTTTTGTCCTTGTACTTTAGCGCATCAATAAATAAACCATATAACTCTGCAGAGATAGCAAGAACTGCAGATGCTGGAGTCAAAGACAACAGTGTGGAGCTGGAGGAACACAGCAGGCCCGGCAGCATTAGAGGAGCAGGAAAGTTGACTTTTCAGGTTGGGACCCTTCTTCTGCTCGTCTGATGCTGCCTGGCCTGCTGTGTTCCTCCAGCTCCACACTGTGTTGTCTCATATAACTCTGCAATTATTTTAGAATATATTCTCATAAGGACATAAGAAAACTTGGAATAAGAACCAGCTATTCTTTCCAGCTTTACAAGTGAGTCCTTGTGCATAATTCTCAAAAAGGTACCAGGCAGGTTCTGCAAGTAGTCAGGAAGGCAAATAGAATGTTTTTCATTGCAAAGGGGATAAAGTATATAAGTAGGGAAGTCTTGTGATAATTGTACAGAGCATAGTGAAATTGCATGTTGAGTGGTGAGTATAGTTTTGGGCTGCTTACTGAAGATAGACACTTCGAAAATAATTCAGAGATGGTTAACTGGACTGATTTCTTTAATAAAGACATTTTGGAGAACACGCCTCCATCTACATCAACAGAGCGGAGGTCAAGAGGGTTGACAGCATCAAGTTCCTAGGAGTGATGATAACTGACAACCTGTCCTGAACTTCCCACGTAGATGCGATGGTCAAGAAGGCACAACAACGCCTATTCTTCCTCAGATGGCTTAGGAAATTTAGCATGTCTGTAACGACCCTTAACAACTTTTACAGATGCACCATAGAAAGCATACTATCCAGGTGCATAACGGCCTGGTATGACAACTGCTTTGCCTAGGACTAGAAACTACAGAAGATGGTGTGCACAGCCCAGACCATCACAGAAGCCAACCTTCCATCTATGGACTCCATTTACACTGCTTGTTGCTTTGGACAGGCTGCCAACATCATCAAAGACCCCCCCAACCCTGGTAATGCTCTCCTACAACCTCTTCTATCAGGTAGAAGATACAGAAGCTTGAACACACATACCAACAGGTTCAAGAATAACTTCTTCCTTGCCATTATTATACAGATGAATGGACTCTCTAACTTCAAATAATATTGATCTTGCTTCATGCACCTCCTGTGGAGTGTAACTCTCTCTGTCCAAGCACCCTATGATCTGTATATCTTTGCTTACTATTATCTGCCTGTACTGCTCGCAAACAAAGATTTTCACTGTACTTAGGTACATGTGACTACAATAAATCAAATTATGAGGAAAGATTGAGCAGGTGAGCCAATACCAATTGGAATTTGGAAGAATGCCAGGAGATCTTGTTGAAAAATCCTGAAGGGGTTTGAAAGGGATGACAGATGATTCGCCTTGTGGAGTAATTTATAACTAGGCGCACAATTTAAAAATAGGGTTACCCCAATTCAGACAGCGATGAGAAGGACTTTCTTTTCTCAGTTGGTCGTTAAACTCTGGAATTCGCTTTCACAGAAAGCTGGAGCACTAGTTAGATCTACAAGGAAGATAAGGGTCATCAGATGCAGGAAGAAAACTGGGCCAAATTCAGTTCAGCCGTGATCTTGTTGAATAGTGGAACTGGCTTGTTGGGCTGAATGGTTACTCCTATTCCAATTTCTTATGATCTTTGCACCTGGCTACTCTATCAGGTCCTATAAAAGTATTCTCCTGAGCAAAGATAACCAAAGGTTCATTTTAGTTCATCGATCATAGGTACGTTGGAATAAACTCTAAGTAAATCCATTTGGTTGTCGAAATTATGTCAAGCAGCCTTGGTAGTTGCCTTCTTGATTTAAACAAAATCTACTTATATTATGACCCAACTTTCTAATCCATCCTATTCTATTTTGAACAAGGTAATCATTCAGCCCTTGGCGCCCTCGCGGATATTCCTTCTAGCTTATGTGTTCATTGGTCAGAGATTCCCACATGTCAGTAGGGATGTAGTGCTCCCTTTCCCCTCCAAGTGATAGCTTAACATTGCAGAGCTTAGAATAAAAACACTTGTTTAGAGAGTCTTTTGCATAGTATGCAGACAATGCGGCCTGTCCATCACAGCTGGTTATGCGTGACTGAACTCTTGATACTGGGGATATTGGACTGGGGGAGGACACTCACGTTGAAATACAGGAAGGTGTAGACCATGAGCTTGATCCTGGATTTCAGGCCTTGGACTTCAAACACTCTGTTCCTTAGGCACCCAAAGTCTGCACTGGTGCATCGGAGTCAATGTTGGATTCTATCGTCAATATCTGCTTACACCAAGACAAGGCTCCAAAGTTATGGGAAATGATCCACACCATTCAGGGACTCGCTGTGGATTTTAATAGTTTGGGTGCAGTGTTGTGTGACAGGAGTGGAATGGTAGAGACCTTTGTTTTCTGAATGTTTAATCTGAGGCCCATTCTCTCACACACTTTGGTGAATGTGTCGACCATGATTTGTAGCTCAGCTGCTGCGTGTGTCCACATGAAAGCATCGTCTGTGTACTGCAGCTCGGTGACAGAAGTTGGGGTGGTCTTGGTTCTGATCTGGAGGTATTGAATGTTGAACAGTTTCAAACTTATCCCATAGGTTGGCTCCACTTGGCAAGGAGCTTCATGGAGATGTGGTGGACTGTTGAGAAGACGAAAATGGAGAAGAGCATTGGTGCAATAACAGAGCTCTGTTTAACCCCAGGTGGCACTTGTATTGGGTGAATGGTGGATCCATTTCTGAGGATCATGATCTGCAGTTCATCATGAAGCAGGCAACAAATTTCTGCAGACAGCTGAATTTGATGAGGATATTCCACAATCCAACATGGTTGACTGAGTTGAAAGCCTTTGTGATATCAAAGAAGGCCATGTGTAGAAGTTGGTGATGTTTCCTGCACTGTTCTCGGATTTGTCACACCATTGTCGAACAGTGGGAAAACAATTATTTTTCATCTGAGGTTCAGATTATTAACTTTATAATCATGTTTTCTAAGTCTTTGTTTGCTTTTGAATGAAATTATTGGCTTGCATCCATATTCCTCTCAAGTTTTACCAACCTATGTCTTGTCTCCTCCCATCCAAATTTTCTGGATTAAAATGATTTTGTGACACTCCCTAACTTGTTTTGTAATTATTGTATTATTTTATCTGGTGATTAGTGAAAAGTGATGAAGATAGGAAATCATATTCATTGGATACCATGAACAAATAGACATTAAAGCTGAGAATTGTTGAGCCATCTTATTCTTTTATCGCTGGTAATAGAAATCTCTCAATTGCCCAAATGATAAATTGGGCAGAAGAATCAAATCAATTAAATGCATAATTTTTATTAATATATAGTAATTTCTCTCAATGGAAGAAAAAGATCAAGAAGATATGCAAATTGTAAAACAACAAAACAAATACCATATTGCAATTTATTTTGCATTTAAACAAAATGTCAAGAAGAAGAGGTTGCCTGATGGGAAAGAAATAAGACATGATCAAGCCAGGACATGGTTATAATTGATTAAAATAACTGAAGGTTCAGAACATCCAAGATCAGGCAATGTCTTTCACCCTCACTTCTTTCAAGACCAGAGGCTGGGCCTTCCACTCTCTTTCCAGTAAAGGCTCAACACCTTCCAACAGTTATGCTCCCAACCCTTTGCTTCCTTTCCCAAATTCTGTGGTAGATTTGGTCTCTTTATTGCATTTTGTCCAGTTTTGACTTGTTTAAAATTTCTCGACCAGAAATGTGCTCAGCGGGCTTATGTTTGGTCTTCATTTTCTCTGTTTAGAAAAGTATCAGAGCATTATTGTATTTGTGAAAGTTTGATGGCTTTGTCCAATTGCGAACATGATAAATTTCAAGTTTTCCTCTGGTTGACAGTATTGGCAGACTACTTTCTGAGAAAATGAGTTAATTGTAGTAAAGAAAGTCACAAAAGGCAGTCATAGATATTGTCTAATTTGATATGTTGCTCAATTGAGGTAAATTTCTGACGAGAAAAGGAACATAAAAAGTTACAAGAATGCAAATACACATACATGTAATTTTATGTTTATGGTATATTGGTGAATTTGGCTGTGTATCATTTAATACCATGCATTTTACCATAACATAACACACTCAACAAGTTTATACACTGTTATTAAACTTATAGGATCGATTAATTTCATTTTTTATGTATAGAACAGTCAATTATATCTCAGCCGTCATTCAAAGTCACTTTCGCTTCATTGACATTTAAATTATGTCCTTAAGGTAGATTCACAGTTTGTGTAATTTTGCTTTAAAAAATCCTGAATACAGGCATTCCCTAGCTGAAGTTTGCTTCAATAGCTTTGAGTTCCTCTGATGTGTCAGGGAACATTATTGCAACTTTTCAGCTACATTGTTGGGAGTAAAACAATTTATTTTTGCTTGCCACCACCAGAAATGCCATTTCTGATACTTTGACCAGGCATTGTCAATTAGTGCCAGGTTAGATGGTGTACCATGGCTTTGCGTGCATGATCACTTTGCATCATCTCTATCCTCCTGGC